TACTGTTATATAATTAATGAATGATTGTCCACTCATTACACTTCTGTTGCTTTCTGGATATTTTAAAACTGTTATGGATCAATGCATATTATCAGTATGAAGACAGTGTAACCAGTACCCTATAGTGAACTGATAGCTTTCTTTCACTTGTACTGTGTTTAAAACCTAAACTCCCATTTCCCTTATTACTAGCTAACATTAAATCAGGGATACTGGCTTGTGTTAAAAAGTAAAAGTATACTGTTTACTTGATATCCCTAGTACTTTCTCCTTTTCATTTACATTACTTTACAGCAAAATATAACTGAAGACAGTGCTGAATGTGAAAAACATTTTCAGCAATAAGATTTCATTATTAGACATAGATCTTGATTTAATATTTAGTTTGAATGTAGGTGTAATGTTCAACTACACAGTACTAGAGTTAATGGTAGTTTTTCAGTACGGAAGTTAGTGTAGAATACCTTTTAAATTAAAACACTGATGTAAATCAAATAGATATGTTCAGTACAAGAATGGGAACAGAGTAATTGAAGGATCATATGATATTTTAAATGCAGAAGGCATGTGTTTATTTTGTTGTTGTTTTTTTAGTAATAGTTTTGTAAGATACTGTATGGTTTAGACTTTAGAGAACAATTCTGGTATAAGAACTAGTACAGAATAACACAGTCCAAGCCACTACTGTGGACTTTGTCTTTCATTATAAATACTAATAATTTTTAAATTTAAGATACTAATACAAACAGAATGTTTTCTATATATGTATGAGAACAAATATAAAATAGACTTTAATGATTTAACTGTTAGGATTTTGCATACTAGCTTTAAACTTATGACATTTCTTTGGGCTTAATGGGTTTTCTCTGTATAAGAACTAAGACACGTGTATATTAATTTTGAACTGAAATCACTGTGGTTAAAGGGAAAAAATATTTTAGCACAGATTTAAATTTGAAACACTACTGTAGACTTACTTAACAGTAATTTTAAGTATGAGAAGTATAAAGTATTTTTAGTTCAAGAACTTCATTAATGAAACCTTGATTAACTTTCAACTCAAGCTAATGTTCAGTGTTTAATGGGTATTTTAATTTCAAGATCATTTTTAATTCAGAAATCTGCAATTGGGTTAAATATTTTCAAAGTATTAGTGTATATTAACATATTTCAAACTGTTTTGGATTTCATACATTTTTTAAGCACACAAGTTTTTACAAAATTTTCAACTCAAGATACTTGACTATTAATTTTGTATAGAGAATTTTTGGACCCAAGTCGCTGTTGTGGAGTTATTAAAAATGATATCTCAAATAAATTTATTTTTCATGTTATCAAGTCATGCATATGACTAAAGTCAAGTACAATAAATCTGTGACCAAGAGAGGTCTAGTTTGCTATCCAGTCTTTACTAAACAAGAAAATATCAGTAAGAAATTATTGCTTAGAAAATATTTCATTTTCCACTGAAGAAATATATTTACCTCAAATTATCTAACACAGTTTGAAATTAAATTGATTAAGAAGCTTCCATTTATTGACAAGGTTGTTTCAGTTTAAAGAGATTACCAATGAGTCCATTGGTAAGTGTTGTTTAGGAATTTGGTTTAAAACTCTGTGAAGATACCAGAAATTATGAAAAAAATATACATATCAATCAATTTAAACATGAAATATTTTATTTTAAAAAAGTACACACAATCAATGTTCCCTTTTTTTTTTTCTACTTCTATGAACACTACTTTTCTGTCAAAAAAGATTTCCTTTCTTTAAAAAAGTTGAACAGCACTTTTTTGAGCAGCTGTTGGAACCTGTACTCCTTTTTGACACTTGGACAAGGTATTATTCAAATACTAGGCCTATGTCTTCCACACAAAACCATTAACAGCCTATTGTTTTCAATGTGCAGATTAGAGGGAACATTGTTCACAATTTTAATACATAATGAACAATAAATATATATATATTAAAAAAGTAATGTTTGTAATTCAGAAATACAAGAAACAATTTATTTCAAACCATGGTATTAATAATTTATGAATTTTATAAACACTTGTGAAAAATTAGTTTAACAAAACTGTGGCAGTATTTGATGACTGCATTGGCCCTGCACACATAAGTACCAAAACCTCACTATTTCTGGATATATTATAAAACAAAATTAAATGCATTAGTATATTTCACTAAAAAACATTATTTTGAATGAACGGCCAATTTATACAATTTTTGTTGTTGCTAATGTAGACCTAGTTTATTATAGTGTTAACGTAAGTCCATTTAAGCACAGTAATTACAGAATTGCAAAATAACTGTAAATTGAGCAGATTTTTAAAGATAATTCAGGTGTAACTAGCATTATTTGATGATTTTAGTTTGATAACCTCGTACTTTTACTTCACCAAAGTTATTAATCAGGCTATCTCACTTACAGAGTTTGGAAGATCCTTAATCAAACTTAGTATACTACTTTCTTAATTAAGGTAGTAAAGTCTAAATGTTTTGTATTAACTGACTTAATTGTAATCTTTTGATATCATTATTTTTTAAGTTCTAGGACTTAGATATTTTTAAATGAGTTGAATTTACCAAACAGTGTTTACCTGACCTGCCTGAAATCTTAGTTGTTGACATCCTTCCTTGAGCTAAGGTGACAGTACATTTTTTGACTGAATTGTCTCAGCTAGACTATTATTAAAGTACTATTTGAATGTAATATACCATATAATTTTACCAGGCATAACTATTTGAAAATCTTGAAATATTCATTTATGTTTAGTTTGTCACACAATTTCAACAGAACTAGGGCAATTTTATATATATATATGAAATTCTTATGTAGGAATAATAACTTAAGATGATATAAAACAATTAGTTACTTAAAATGCTTCTTTGATTTTCTTTATCATAAGATTTATGATAAAGAAAATCAAAGAAGCATTTTAAGTCACCTAATTTCAAACGTTTAAAACTATTTTAACTTAATGCGGGTATTTTCAACCTGTGATGGGTACAGGTTAGCAACGGGGTAGAGCTCTGCCTTCAGAGCTAGTGAGCCAGGTTTGCATCCATGTGATATCACAAAATATTTCCTACATTTTAAGCTTTGGGTGCATTATAAGAGTGACAGTCAAACCTTTAGCATAGACATTGGAAGGTAGGGTGCTGCTGACCAGGTACTCCCCCTCTGGTCAGTAGTTCAAACTTAGGGACAGCAGCAGTCTTAGAAGCTTTGCCATAAATACAAAATATAAATACTTAACCTGTGATAATGACCTTTTAGGGGGAAGGTCACTGAGGGATCTCAAATGTAAGAAGTTTTTCATATTTTTTAGCTTGAAAATAAACTGTGTATAGAACTGTATTATCCTAGCAAGAAATATATTCGTTTTGTCTTATTAGATGCAATAACATTATGTAGATGGTTGCAACTTGTATGAGTCCATGAAAGGGATATCCCAGTTATAAAAAATCTGAGAACCCCGAGCTTGTTGTACCATAAAAAAATTTACTAACCTGATTCACTCCTCATCTTAAATTATTTTACCACACAATTTTTAATCAGTCAACCTGGCTACCCATGTATCAGCCTGAAAAGATAATAATCATACTTGTTGTAATTCATTCTGACTCAGTCTACACAAAACTTCACAGGTAACAGTAACAACAACATTTATCCTTTAAGTTATATAAGGTTACAATAAATAACTTATTTTATTCCTTAAGTCTCAAAAAGCCATCTTAAGAGCACAAGTTAAGTAAACATGATGCAAGAACTTAGTGAACAAAGCACTGATATTCCAAATATGATCCAGTACTGTGCATTACCCATAAAGTGCTAGGTTCCAAATTGTGTTATGGTACACAATGAATTCCCAAAAATACAACAGTGCAACTGCACCAGGATAGAGTTATGGCAGGAGTAGGTGTCACAGCTCTTTCCAAGGAAGGATATTCATGTAGCAAGATTTTTAAGTAATATACAGTCAAAGAATCCAACATACTGGAGAACAGAACTTTCATTTTGTTCTATACCAAAGTGGATAAACTTGTACACTGAACCAATTCAAAATAAAAGCCTTACTCACAGAGAGAAGGTTATGGTTACAAAAGAAAGTCTTCTGACCCAAAAATGCAATTGCAATGAAGTTGGTCAAAACAAGGATTTGATGTTGACAAAGGCACATGAGCTTCTAACCAAAGCTTGAAATGAGCAGCTGTTTTAATTTCACAAAAATATAAACTGACATAATATTCCTATGTAAATTATAAAGGTTTTTCATTGTTCTTGGATCTTGGTGGTCTGCAACAGTTTAGGGAGTAAGCCAGCCAGTCCCTGGTATTGAAAAGATTGAGAAACAGTGGTCTAAGAGAACCTTACAACCTTTCATATTAGAATGGAAATTGCACGGTGAAGTAATAATCAAGATCATAAAATGAGCCTGATTGATGATGGAGGAAGAAGTTACAAGGACAGCCCAGAAACTACAGAATCATTCTTATACAATTAACAGTTGCCTGAAAGCTTATTGAGCACAAGAATACTGCAGGGTTATTCTTATGAGATGCTACAATATGCTATTAAGCAAAGGATTAAGGATTTTATTGTATTTTCCAATGCTTTATATTAGTTGTAAATAACTATAACTAAAAACAATTCAAAGTATTAAGTAATGTCTTTTCAAAAAATGTTACCAACCCAGAGTAAATATTTAAGTAACAATCTTTAGCTAGTGGTTGTTATTTATATTTCAACTAGTTTTTGTATCTTGAAGACTTATCCACAAAGCTAAAAACCTTTATTCACCAGCTAGAATAGCTTTCAGAGTTCTCATACCAAGATTCAATTCCTTAGACTTTAAGATGCATCATGGCAGGCTCCATGCTGAATATGTTTAACTCTACAAAACTTCTCTAGGCAAGCATAAGTGAAAAAAAAAAATTATGATTGGTTTTTTAACTTAAATTAGTTGGGCCAGTAAACAAATCATTAAAATAAATAATATCAATAATAAATATCATTGAAAAATCTGAGTGTATGAAGATCAGTTACATTTATAAAACTATTTTAACTGTATGCAATAAACTTTCATGACATCTTTCTAATGCATTATAGCTAGTGCTGTGGGAAGGAAATGTAGTACACATATTTATTAAATACAAAAACGTATGTATAAAGATTTTTGACTTTATAATCATCACCAAGTATGTATGCTTAAAGTCACTCATTGGATTTGTATGTTTTCAAACAATTCTATATGTTTAAAGCCTGGTGTAATACTATATATAATAAGTATTCATAAATTGATTACTGGAAATATTCATTTATTTTCTAAAGACTTAGTTTGCATTAATTTATTACAAAAGAACAAATGTGCACTTTAAACTTTCCATTGTGTAAAACTAGCATGCATCTATCTTTTAACAGAAAAATGATTAGTTCATGTTTTCAGAGAAAAGCATAAATGTTTGTCACTTAACTTCAAAGATAATGGAAACAGATGAAACTATATCTCATATCAATACATTTTGTTTTTTCGAAAGTCTGAGCCAACAGTTATTCCAAACTCTCACATGGAGAGATTCCTCTCAGTGACTCCTCAAACAAATCCCATTTCTCCTTGAAGCAATGAATGAGAAAGATAAGATTTTAAATGTTGGGGTAATGGAAGCTCTGCAATAAAATTTTCAATCTTACAACTGTGAAGAGCATGGAGATGGTGTCTGATCTTTATTCTGCACAAGTCTTGAAGTCTGCTTACATTGTCTGAAAATATAAAATAGAACTTCTAAATTAACAACTCACAAAAGATCAAGCTTACTTGTAATCAAGTAAACTTTATAATAGGGTCATTTATTAATATCATAACAGAATATGTAACTCAGTATGAGTTCAGTGGTTAAATTTCCGATGATTGTTACTTTTAATTTATTTTTTAGTAAGAAGAGCCCATTATAACTATTTCAATTACACTCTGTTTTATGTTGTGGTTTTTTTTAACAAAAATACTTTTTTGCTCATATTCAAAAAATTTGAATATCAGTTAAAAAACAATGCTGGATTTCAGTTGACCGAACCTTTATCGTAACCACAAATTTGGTGGATCACAGATGACAGCAATTTGCCGTAACTAATGTGAATCTCAGTTTAATAAACCATTTTCCATAATTATACTGGACTTCAATTATAAGATTTATAATATTAAGAAAGTTATCTATCTGGAGTTAATTATATTAGGAATTATTATTCCAGTGTTTCATCAAATCCTTTGATTTACACAGCTTATAATTATAATTTTCCTACAATACATTAAATGAATGTAGACATTAACTCTTCCAGATCACAAGTTAATTATCACTTGTAAAATAGTGATATAGACACATGGACAATTTTGATTTAGTAGGTTAACAGCTACCAAATCAGAGTGCTAATCATAAGATGGTGAGATGAGCACTCATACATCATTTGTTCAATGAAGTACCTTCACTGCTTTAGGTGATTAACTACTATATGCACCATAAGTTTTACTATATATATTTTAAAACCTATAATGTTTTACAGTACAAGCACAATTATGATCTTCCCACTAACTTGGCTCTGAAAGCTCGTCACTAAACTTCACATAAAACTCACCAAAAAAATAACTGCAATCAGTTTATTGTGTAAATCAAAAAGTATTCAAATGCATACATGCACACACAGAAACAGTCTTCACTTTAAAGATTAACCCATACTGTTCATAAGTAAATCATCAGACACTGAGATAAACACATGAATGAATTTTAAAGGATAACAATTCCAGTTTATAAATAAATCATTAAATATTGAGTAGAAGACATATATATATAGCTTTGTTTCAGAAGGACAAGTTTTTCTGTTCACAAACACATCCCTTATTCAAATGTAGTTCCCATTTAACTTGTTAAATAGTGACATTATAACCTTTATCAAACACCAAAATAGACTGAATTATTTTTTCTAACGAAGAGTTTTCTTTTTTAAGTTAATTTTTACATAATTTTCAAACTAGATATTGAAGGAACTGGTTACACTTCCCCAGTTTTAAAACGTATGGTTCACCATAGCAAACTCATATCAGAATTTCAACATTAATCACAACAGAGACTTCCTAAACTTTTACCAAGGCTCTTTAATGATAAATTTTGAAATAATTTAAATAACTGCTTGTAACTTCAGTAACACATTAAAAGTCTATGATTTTGGTCTCAAATAAACCTTATAACCTTGCAAGTAAAGAAAAATGTCAAAGTTTTATGTAATTAGCATCAGAAGTTTAATATTATATGTGTATATACCTTACACTAACTTTTCCAGGTTTAGTGTTCTCTTAGCCCCCAGGGTTTGCTATAGAATTACTAAATGTGTGAAACCTTTTGTTAAACAACACCACCCTCTAAAATACAAGACAGTACAGTTTTCTTGGATATTAAATTTCCACTTAATGGTCTTTTTCAAGATATATACATCTCCTGACAAAGTCTTGATAGCTTAAGAACCTACCAAATGGTTTAATCAGCAAACTTTCCAGCTCAGGACTCTCCATGCAGCTGTTTAACACTTTAGCCACCATATGCTTCACAAGGTAGTACATCTCTCTTGTAATACCAGAAAACTTCAGACACTTTTCTAGTAAGTCCACCACATTATTGAAAATCCAGTTGGTTGAACACTCATTAACAAAACACAAGAAAACAGATGGATCTATCCCCCATAAAAGTAGCTGATCCACCATTTCCAAACTCTCCTCAATGTGACATGAAATCATGCTGGAAGTTAATTTAGCTCCATGATCCAACAGCAAGTTCAGTAGTTCATGATTACTACTTCGAATGGCTGGAAGAAATAGATAAGGTGAAACCTATCAATATATATATGAAAGTTCTTAAAGAACTTCTAAATTTCATGCAAGTTCCTTTAAACTGGCTGTATTTTGACCGTCTACTGTTGGTTACTGTATAAAACTAATGCTGATTTTGAAAAACAGAATGATTTCCAGGCATTAACATGCTATTCAAATTCTTGTTACCCAGGAAATATAGTTAATTGCCTGGATATTTGTCCCATATAGACAACATATTCATTTCTTAACATCTTTCACTAAGGAAGTAAGGAATCTGGTGTCTGTTTTACATATGTTACTAATGGTTACCTAAAACCCTGTGGCTGAATGAGTACTACAAAGTAATGCCTATTTTAAATCTGTCACTGATAATTACTTAAATAAAAAATATCTGTGGCAGGATGGACTGGAAAGATGATACATTTTTTAATTTTTTACTGGTATTACTTACAAATCTCTTACAGTGAGTACTGGAGGACAATATTTACCTAAATTAATACATGTATTAAATAAGTGATGGTTGCCTTAATATCTGTTTGAGAATGTAATGAAACATAATGATGGCTTTTACACTCATCAAAATATGCCTTTGAAAAATGGCTTTGATATAATTTACTAGGATGACAAGAAATTGGATGACCTTATTAAAAAAATCCAATGACTGTCTCGTGTTCTGTTCCCATACTTCATAAATACTGATATTAAAAGTCAGTTTCTTTAATGACAGATGTTGAGGCAATTATAAAGTTCTGGTACTTCTTTATTTGAAAATATTAAGACAGTCCATAGCTTCCTTTACCTGTTTGAAACAGTTATCAGTTTCTATTACCCCTTTGTAACAGGTGTTAAGGCATCACTAGCTATACTTACCTTATGATAATTAACAGAACACAAGTAAACAACTTCTTGTGCATACATAGTACCATATTTTATGATAATAAATAAACCATTCTGTAACTCTTATTAATTAATGTTAGGACACTTACCTATCTCTCTCTCTTACTCCCTTGGTAACAACTGAATATAAAATTACTACCAGTTTCTCTTACCTCTGTTGTTACAGGTATGAACTTTCTTTACCTCCCTAATAAACATGTTAAACAACCATTACTTTTTCTTAACCTGTAAAACACATGTAAATGCTTCTAATGAGTAAAAGAACATTTTACTATAACAATATGTGATTATATGCTTCAATTATGTAATGAAAGCTGAAGACTTTAACAAATGTCATTTAAGAAGTGTGGAAAACTTGTGAGGACTCCTGACTGTTTATTTGGGAAGAAGTACTTTTTATATTAAAAATTTCAGTAATTTACCTGAGTCAAATAACAAGTTAGCTTCAAGGTTGGGATCTGCACCATTCTTTAATAACAAGGCCGCAACTTCTTTTGCCTGTTCTGGATTCTCTAAACTATGGCTGCAAGCTCTAATCAGAGCAGTGTCATACTTTCTAACACCCTGTGTGTTGATACTGGCTGCTCTGGTGGCTAATGTTATACCACAAGTCTTCAGTAATTTTGTAATGATTATTCACTAAAATCACACGCATCAATTTCACCATATTAAAATGTTCTGAGATAGTCGTTGTTGTTATCTACACCTTGGATAACTTAGCACACTACCATTAATCCTTTTTCATCTGAACCAGATTAGACATTTGCTATTATACAACTTCTAGTTAAGGAATTTAACCTTTGAATAATAAATCATTGAGTACTGATGTCACATTAGATTTAAAATTAACAGGTCAGTTCAATAACAATATAAAAGTAACATCCAATATGGAATATTATATTTATTTGTTTTCTCAAGATGTATAAGAACAAGAAATGGAATGTCTGTGATACAATTAACACAAAACTGTCACAAGAATAGAACATTATCTGGAAGTCAAAGCCATCATTTGGAAAATTTAGAATTTGCAGTTACTTAAATGTTTCACAAATACGGTATTGTTTTTAAAGAACTTCTATTGTTAAAATGAATAGTTAACCAGACAATAATTAATTAGGTACAAAAAACGTATATTAAAAAGGATGTTCTAATAACTGAAACTAACATTAATTGTGAAGAAGTTTCCAAGTTAACTAACAGTTTTCAGAATGTGAATTAAATCTGTGATTAGCACGCTTTCTAATCATTTTACATATACAAAAAAAAAGGATGTTCTAATAACTGAAACTAACATTAATTGTGAAGAAGTTTCCAAGTTAACTAACAGTTTTCAGAATGTGAATTAAATCTGTAATTAGCATGCTTTCTAATCATTTTACGTATACAAAAAAAAAGGATGGAACTTTATAATTCTACTGATCCTAAGGTTTGTTATGTCAGAAATGATCAAAGTTACCATTTCTTTTTCTTTTACAGAAACATAAACAAAGCAATTATTGGTGTATAAACTTCAAATGTGCTCTTAAAAAACAACAAACATTCTATCTGAAAAAGCTACAGACTTACCTGGGTCAGCAATGCTAAATAACAATATCTGTAAACATTCAATATCTAGATTCTGAGCAGCAATAATAAGAGGGGTGGTAAGTTCAAAGCCAGTACACAGATCACTCTGAGCACCAGAAGAAACAAGTGTATAGACTGCTTCTTTAGAGTCTTCAACGTACCTGCTGTCACACCGACGTTCTAGAGCTGCAAATGTGTCCATTCCATTATAGCTTTAGAAAATACTCATTGTATAACCACTTTCCATTTGTACATTTTTACAATTAAAACAAATACCCATACAGCATTTTTGTTTGCAAATTAAAACAATTTAGTAAGTGGAAATAATCACTGTATGTTGCATCATACACCTACACGAATGCCATTTATTAATCATCTACTCTCCTTTCTAATTTTTAATGTTATAATCCCTCTAGTTTACTGGAGGAGGGGGTTAATAATTAAGTATCCAGCATACATTGCCCTATAACTGAATATATCACATTTTGTATATCAAACAAAGAACAACATCAGAAGATTAAAGTATCAATGATGTAGAAATAAGTATAACCCAATTAAATTTATGGTGAAGAGTTAAATATGAAAAGGCAGGAATAAGTGGGGTAGCACAAAATATTTATCGTACAGATGTGATAAAACCAGATTATGAACAATCTTACTTACACATCATAGCACATACAAGTACTATCATATTTTAGTATGTTATTATTCTGTCTATATAACTCAGAGATAAGTAGTGAGTTAATCATCAACAGAAAAATACAAAAGGAGTTTGTCTAGATTTCAATGTGTACCAAGAGAGTACAAGGTAAAAAAGTAAAGTGAGAAAACAAAAACAGACTTATTTTTAAGGCATACATATATTCTCATTGACTAAAGCAAAGAAACAAAAGATTTTTTGGTAGGGACAGACACAAACAAGCCAGATTGAACTATAAACTCAGTTGTAAAACATCCAGAACAGGATATAAATCATACGTACATATTTTTAGACTATTCACAGATGAAAGTAAAAATTTAACCATACACTAGCTATAATAAATGCACATTAAAAATGAAGAAACTTCAAATAACAAAACTCAATGAAGAAAATTTTCAGAATATCCTACCTTCCATAGGTATTGGTCCCTAACATTTGTTCTCTAACACCAAAAACATAGAAAGATGATGACAATAGCTCAACCAAGGCATTTCAGCAGAAATTTGACAACAGGCATATATACTTGAAGTTAAAAATGACTCAATTTGTTACTAGTATGACCCACATCAGGCTATACAATAGATAACAAAAAAAAAGGAAAATGAGCAAACTCATGACTACAAGAACCAAGAAAAATACAAAGAAGGTGTGAATTAGTTAATAAGGAAGAACTAACTGTACGTTTCCCACTGGAAAAACAACTGAGAATGGAAGCCTGCAATACAGTAAGATACACGAGGCAAACACTTTTATTAATTGAAGAAAACAAATTCTCCAAATTAGAAGAATGGTGTAAAATCTCTATATCCAAATTAATATTAACTTCCAATTATAGCAAGATATGTATTTAAAGTGAAACTAAAAATGAACTTTGCAATCAGCATAGCTAATTGAATATACTTTTCTTACATTCCTACATAACCTACTAAAGGTTAGAATGCATTATTTTATCAGTTAAGTACCCTCACTGTTAACAATATTTTTGACCATATTCCCAATAATATCTCATGAGGCTCAGTCAGTTTAGTAGATTTATGTTAGTCCTAGATAAATATATTAAACTAACAATGCAAAACAATCTCCACAATAAAAGTATAATAATAATAATAAAAACAATGAAAGTAACAATAAATAAATATTACATCTTACTTAGAAAACACAGAACCACAAAAATTAATATGATTACTCTCTCTCAATCCTCTTAAAATATAAGAAATTTAAAGTATGGGTCAAAAGAGGCATTTTGCGGGTCTTAATAAGATCAAATCACTAATGACTATTTATTTCAAAAATAACATATGACAATGAAAATCAAGTGTTAGAGGAAATAAAGAAGTATACCAGAAAGTGAAAATAAATAAAACACCCCCAAAGTCACAAAATGTAATAAGATATATATGTAAGTGTGAAAAAGAAGAAAAGACAATGCTGCTGATGATAAATGAAATTTTGCTTAAATAGGAATGATGAAGGAAAGCATACAAAATAATTCTAAATTGAAAATTCAAATATTTTGAATGCACAAAACACACACACACAAAAAAAACATAAGTTTGGAATACTTGTCATTTACTGGATCCATGCTAAAAGATGAAAGATATCAGTCATAAGCACAAGAATGGGAAGATCAGCAATTTAACTGGTTTGGATAAAAAATACATTAAATGAAAAACAAGCCCAAAAGAATAAAAGATGTTATAACAACAGGGCCATAAAATAACAGACTATATATAAAAAAACAAAAGTTCATTTTACATAATATAGATGACTGGATTGAAGAATATTTCATTATGGTTAAAATGGCATATTATTAAATAGTTTCATATGGACTATTTTTGCTTTCTGTCTAGCTTTCGAGACAGTGTTTCAAACACTGTGATGAGTTCCTCATCAGACCACCACAGCACATAGTTTAAAACACCAACTCCAAAACTAAACAGAAGATAGGAAGAGCCAATGAGAAATTAGGTTGTATGTCAACACACTGTAGCATTATGTAACAAACATAAAAAAGAATATTTCCCTTTACAGAATCCCGAAACAGAAACAGCATGAAACAGAATAAAATTCCCTCTTTTAGGTACTCATGAAGATAATTCATCTTTGCCTTACAAACAGATAAGGAACAATATAGAATTACTGCAGTATTACTCCACAAGCTAGTTTTAGAAAGAAAAAATCATTCACAAAGGAAATATTCACTGACAACAAACAGTTACAATTTATCTACAACATTAGTACTGAGGCAGTAAGAATATGTTCACTACAAGATGACTTGAAATCTCAGCACTCTGAAACAAAACAAATATCATGGATTTTTTCTTGCTGATACATTTTATATAAACCAATATTTAAAATTGCTAAAGAAGAGACACACAAATACAGGCAGCTAATCACTACCACTAAAAAAGAAATTCCCATGTGGAAAATAATTATTTTATATAAAGTATATATAAAAAAATACTAGAAGTTATAATTACAGAGCATAATGTATCATGTCTAATAAAAAGCCAAGATGCAGTTCTTACATATCAATCCTTGTAATAATTCATCAAAGTTATGTAATAACCTTTACTTCAATGAAATACAGTTCTACAAACCTTCTTTTAAAGGAGTGTTTATGCTTGAACATTTTGCTTCATCTTGAACATTTGGATCAGCCCCATGCTTCAGCAACAATTTGATGATGTCAACAGCTCCCTTCACTTGCCCTAGCATTGTCCTGCAAGCCAGAAGAAGAGGACTTGTTCCTTTCCATACCCTGCTCTTCTCACCTGAAAATACATATTGAATAAACACAAGGCATGATGGGCTTTGTTCTTCTCCAATTCTTTGAATAAAAACAATAAATACAAGTGTTTGTAAGGGCAAAAAATATATTAACCCTGATATTGTAAAATAAAGTAATTTTGTTTATATCTGTTACAACACTTAGTGGAAAGAGCTGACTAACATAATTGGTGGAAATAACTCATTTTCTATTTAAGATACGTAGAAGACTCCATGGTAACTAGTAAGATTAATTACTGTATAGATAGCATTTTCATTTAAAAGTTTTTGTTTGACTCATATGTATTAGAAACCCTGTAACCAATGAATTAATGGATCCACTAGCAGTTTGGTACATAACTAGTTTAGGAAAGTGTTTTTCAGGGACCATCAGTAATTCTAGTGTCAACATTTTCATGAAAAAAGTATTTCAAACAAAAAAGAAAAAAAAGAAAAAAACATGAGAAAAAGTTAAAAGTAATCTTGTATAAACTTTTCTAAAATCACCATAGTGTTACAATACCTCAGGTAACACAAGACAAACCACTTCACACAACTAATTCATGATGAATTGTAATGATAAACTTCAAATTTCTAGTTCATGGTCAATCATAATGACAAATTTCACACTACAAGTTAATAGTGAATCATAATGACAAATTTCACACTACTAGTTAATAATGAATCATAGTGACAAATTTCACACTACTAGTTAATAGTGAATCATAGTGACAAATCTCATACAACTATTCAATGATGAATCATACTGATATATCTCACACTACTAGTTAATGGGGAATCATAATGACAAATTTCACACAACTATTCAATGATGAATCATACTGATATATCTCACACTACTAGTTAATGGAGAATCATAATGACAAATTTCACACTACTATTTAATGGTGAATCATACTGATATATCTCACACTACTAGTTCATGACAAATTGTAATGATAAACTTCACACAACTAGTTCACAATGAATTGTAATGATAAACTTCACACTACTAGTTCATGAAAAATTGTAATGATAAACTTCACACTACAAGTTCATGAAAAATTGTAATGACAAACTTCACACTACTAGTTCATGACAAATTGTAATGATAAACTTCACACCACTAGTTCATGATGAATTGTAACGATAAACTTCACACCACTAGTTCAAGATGAATTGTAATGATAAACTTCACACCACTAGTTCATGATGAATTGTAATGATAAACTTCACACCACTAGTTCACAAGGAATTGTAATGATAAACTTCACACAACTAGTTCACGATGAATTGTAATGATAAACTTCACACTAATAATTCACAATGAATTGTAATGATAAACTGCACACTACTAGTTCACAATGAATTGTAATGATAAACTTCACACTACTAGTTCACAATGAATTGTAATGATAAACTTCACACTACTAGTTCACAATGAACTTGTAATGATAAACTTCACACTACTAGTTCACAATGAATTGTAATGATAAACTTCACACTACTAATTCACAATGAATTGTAATGATAAACTTCACACTACTAGTTCACAATGAATTGTAATGATAAACTTCACACTACTAGTTCACAATGAATTGTAATGATAAACTTGACACTACTAGTTCACAATGAATTGTAATGATAAACTTCAAACTACTATTTCATGATGAATCATACTGCACAATTTCAAACTTCTAGTTCATGGTCAATCGTAATGATAAATTTCACACTACTAGCTCATGATGAATCATAATGACAAATTTCACACTACTAGCTCATGATGAATCATAATGACAAATTTCACACAACTAGTTAATAGTGAATCATAATGACAAATTTCACACTACTAGCTCATGATGAATCATAATGACAAATTTCACACAACTAGTTAATAGTGAATCATAATGACAAATTTCACACTACTAGCTCATGATGAATC